ACGGACTCACACATCTGCTGAACAAGACCCCTGAAGTGTCTTCCAGCTCAAAACTGGAGAAAAACTAGACATAAATTAAATGTTAAGCCCAGAAGCATAGCATAGCTACTGGTACAGAGCAGGTGCTCAATGTATATTTAATGAAAGAATTACAAGAGAAGTTTTAAAAAAAATATTTAAAACAGAGCATCCCAACCTGTGCCGCCACGTCACAAAGGGCTAACAGGGGTGTCAAGCTACTGATCTCCTCAGGACTACAGCCCATCAAACAAAACCGTTTGTGAAGCACAATTTTTTAAGTATACTACCATTACACACACAAAAACATCTTTATTTGGAGAAGTTCATGATCAACTTATAAAAAGTTCTCACTGCCCTTCATTAAGAAAGACAGCATGTGGGTCTTTATCATCTGATACTCAAATCCACTGAATCTGAAGACAGAGAGCATGAGGAGCCATTTACTTAAACTTTGAAAGGGACTTTCCTCACACAATTATGGGTGTAAAACAGGCACTTCTCTAAGAGTAACTTCTGAAAACCAGAATCCTTTCAGCATTACTTGGGTACATATGGAGAACACACAACAGCAACCATTCTCAAAAGATGAAATTCTGCTAAAGAATATTTAAGTAATACAGTAGCAACTGCAATGTGTGGCTTGAACATTTATAGCAACAGCTACTTATCCTTGTTGATAGTAACTAGGGAATATTTTGGTGTGAAAACCTGCATTATTTCCTGCAATTATTAAAACTGGCAACTTCAAAAACCTTTTTTTTTTTTTTTGAGAAAGGAAAAGATTGGGAATATATGGGGGGTTTACTTTCAATGAGGTGCTTAAGGGTACTTCCCAGCTAGCTGCTTTTCCTTCCACATCCAACAAATAAAAGCTCAGCATCTTTTGGAAGCCCCATCGCCTGTATTATGGGTCACCACCTTCCCTTCCCCAGTCTCATCGCAGTCACTTCACCTTTGTTGCATCTGCAGTGCAATCCACAGAATAAAGCTACCTTGCCAACTGCACTTCATTCCAAAGGGTGGGTCCCTCAGAAGGGGGCTGCCAGTTTCTTCAAATCTGCAAGGAAGTCCACGGTGGGGCTGGTGGCTTCTGAAACTGTCCAGGGAGGATTCTCGGAAGGAGTGCACAGTGAAAATCAGAGTTAGAGACGCCATGTGGCTGGCCACGATCTGTAGGTCCGAGGGGCCTGCAGTATGAGCAAACAAGCCCTTCCCCCCTTGAAGGGCCACTTCAATGGTCTGCCTTTCTTTCCTGTGGTTCTTCATGGAAAGGGAAGGTGTGGCTATTTAACTGAGCTTCCAAAAAACCCCAGAAAGGTAAAAAGCTGTCAAACTAAAACCTCATCTTGGAAACACCTGAGGAACATCTGGGTTTTACAATGTTCCCCTTGTCTTCTAGGAATGTGATTCTTGAGCAATGTGGTTTAAGAAAAATATAAACTGCAGTCCAACGTTAAGGGTCAAATGGGTACTATGGCCCTAGAAATAGTATAAACACTATAGAAGGATCACTTTACTATCTAAAATCATGGAGTCTGAAAAGGTATACACACTGAGAAATAGATTGGTCCAGTGTTCTGGGGTGATTACTGGGGAGATTTTGTGGGGGTTTTTGCTTTTGTTTTGCATACACTGAACAAATGCTTCAAATAAACATCTCCCTTAAAAGGCACTGTCCTGCGTAGCAACTCCAAAAACCACATATTACCTATCATAGCAGGTATTTTTAGTGTTAGAGTAGAAATATGGGCAAAGGAGCAAGAACAAAGTTTTGATGTTTAGATACTTTGTATTTCTTTATGGACTCAGATTTCTGACTCATCTGAGATTTAACTAGTCACAGACATAAAAATGTTTAACGAACTCAAAGGTCTATATCGAATGACTTAATTGCCCAGAAAATACTACAAGTAGACAGAAGCTTACCCACATGCCTTTGATCAATGTTCTCTCATTGACTTCCCTCCCCCCAATCTCTTTCAAATCCCACTTAATGCCCCAGCTCAATTGCTACCACCGTGTGGCTTCCCATTCCCACCCAAATTACCCTTCCAACACACACACACATGCACGCACCCACCCACATCCACGCACCATTCCCTTCCTCCTCTTCTTTTTAATGTATTTTTTGCACAGCACTCCACTCTTGATCTTCTTTCTACTGTATAGTTACTTGTAGATGTGGACAAATCTTCTTGAGCACAAGACAGACTGTGTGAGAACAGAGAAGCTTATTTCATCCAAACCCTACTGTCTATCCCTTTGAGACACTGTACGCTGTGGGGGTTCATGCTTGGTTGCTATAAGGTATTTGAAAACGTAACATCCGTAAGTGTCTCTGGGAGTTAGTATTAACTACTACATCTTAACCTGCATATTTAGTTACTGAAACTAAAAGTAATGTTAATATTGAATTTGAGACCCTAAGATTGTGGCATGTCTTAATTCAAAGTAGAATAATGCCAGTCAGCATACTTTTGATATTCAGGGTATTTTACCATATTAGTGCTTTGTAAATTGTCACCCCTTTATTATATGTTTACAGAGGGCAAGAACATCTGGCCAAATTTTTTTTTTAAAGATTTTATTTATTTATTTGAGAGAGAGAGAATGAGAGATAGAGAGCACGAGAGGGAAGAGGGTCAGAGGGAGAAGCAGACTCCCCGCAGAGGAGGGAGCCCGATGTGGGACTCGATCCCGGGACTCCAGGATCATGACCTGAGCCGAAGGCAGTCGCTTAACCAACTGAGCCACCCAGGCGCCCCCTGGCCAAATTCTTCTATCAACCCAACTATTGTATTATTATTGTATATAATAACTTATTTTGCTTCAGAAAGGATATGGGCAACTTAATGCATATGAGAGCACTTCAAGATTCACTAAATGACACTGATGTCAGATTAAAAACTACACAAATGAGCTAATAATCAAATCCAAGAAAGTAAAAGCCAGATCCACAAGAAGGGGAAAGCAGGTTCACTTTTGCAAGTTGTAACTGGGCTTGTAAAAACTACACCAAGTTAGCTGGAAACTGCTCTGGGCTCTCACAGCACTTAACGACATTGTGGTCCTGGCCTTGTGGCTTATCTGCCCTTCCTTCTGGGTGACAGTTTCCAAGAAGGTAAGAGCCACATCGTGCTTTTATAAGCTTGGGGCACAACGCACAATACACAGATCACCAATAAACCTGTGTTGAACAGCCCGAATAGCTTCTGTTTATTTCTATAAACTAGAATTCTGGAGAGGTTAATTTCAGTGACCCTATATTCAACAGGCTGCCTGAATTAATGGTTTAGATGTTTTAGTCCTTCCAACTTAAAGGGTATTGAGCCCACTTCTGGGAGTTTTCAGAGAAAGAATACAAATAGTAGAGAAAAATGAACCATTCACTGCAATGACTGAAGCTATAAGTGCTCTTCCAACAATAATCGTTACAATTTTAGCAATACTTCTGTTTTCTTCTGTTTGAGGTTCCGATATGGTAACAGATACAAAGGATCAAAACCAATGCCTCTTAAATGTATCTTCTCCCGATAAAAAGTATATGCATACTGTTTTGGAAGTATATTAAAATTTCCACATACTTACTGTTAAAATATATGCATTTTCTTATTTCTAGGTAACCCTCTGAGTAGGATGTTACAAGCTTCCACTACACATTTTTGAATGTCTTATAAAGTAAGGGTAGGACACTCCTTTTTTTTTTTTTTTTAAACAGAAAGGCTAAATTGCTAACACTTCTACTCAAATCAGATTAAAATATCATAAAATGATGTTAAGATTAAAAAATTTATGTTGGCAACCCTAACATAGAATTGCACTACTCTAGGATGATTTGCAAGCTTGAGGGGAGAAAGGATTCTAAGGAAAAAAAACAAAAAAAACTCTCAAGTATACCAGTAGTCTCACCAACCTCCTTTCCTGAGAATTTTTCCACTATCTGCTCAAATATAAAAGAACTGCTGACATGCAAACCAGTCAAAATATGGGTAAGCATGCAAGAGGAGAGAGGTGAGGGGAGGATGTTCTGATAACACAAAATTAGAGTATTAAATTCATATAATAAAGAAGGGGGTATGGAGATTTGAGATTAATTGCATGTTAGAAGAAAAAGAATTGTCTTGTCACTCAGCTACTCTCTTGACTACTAAGTTGTGAATTCAGGACAATTACTTTTAGAATGGCTTTTTACCAAAAAAAAGAAAAAACTGACAGATACAAATTTTAAAAAACCATTTAGTATACTTTGTAAGAAAAAAAAATACTTCGTTATATCAAATTTTCTTAAGTTCTATAGAAGTAGAATCTTCGCATAAAGGATGAGCAAGAAGTATTTTCCTTCCTGCACAGATCTGGTAAGGATGTGTAATGAGAACTGAACATGTATATGCAACACAGGACTGGCACAGTTCCTGACATGGACACGTGCTACCCACATCAGCCTTAACCGAATGAAACCGGAGTTTCTGATTTCAGAGAAGAGTCTCTTGAAAATCTGGCACTTGGGCAACAAAAATAAATCTCACACACCAGCAGTTAATCCCACGGGTGAATTAAACCTTGCTGGCAGAAGCAGAGTAAGTTATCTTCCTTCTCTTTGGTTTTTCGTTCGCTCAAGTAAATGTGTGAAGACAATTCCCATTTGTTTAAAAAAAAAAAAAAAGTTGATTATTAACTCAGAGCAATAGAATGATGTCAGCATCCAATTACCCAAACTTTACAACTAGCAGATGAAAGCACGTATTCCTATAAAAATTACTCATTAAGTAATATTTGAAAGCTAACTATCAGAAATGTCATTCAAAAAAATTTTTTTGCACATTCTACTTCAAATTAACATGCTTCTGGAATTCTTACTTTAGATAACACAGCTTTCAACTAAAGCTCTGAGAGAACCTCTTAACTCAAGAGGGTAAGTTTATTAGCCTGAGCACAGGAGCCCCCAAAATGTGTATAAAGACCTACTCACCACACTGTTCTTTCCCTTCAACTTTGTTTATTGATGTACTGAACATGAAAAAGTACAAAGAATCCAAACACAAAAGAAAACATGTACAGCCTCTTAAATACTCAACAGAATATATTTTCTATTCCAACAGATGTGAATTAAGTCATACTGTACAACTTCAAATAAATACCAGCCTTACATTTTATTAAGTGCTCTGATAAACACTGTAAAGTGAAGCACAATTTGCATGCCCTCTCATCAATGCCTTGGTTTGCTACAGTAGTATAGGAAAGAAGCATGTAGCTGCTGTTTTCCCATGAGGGAAACCTTATTTTTTTTTTTTTAATATATACACGTATTTAGTTTTTTTTTTTTTAGTTTTTTTTTTTAAACGCAGAAGGTTAACTCTGACAATCTAAATGCACCTAAGGATATGAGAAAGTGCTAAGCCAATTGATTTCTGAATAGCATTGAGTGGGTCAGCATGAAAACTCGCTTATTCACTTTAGCACGCGCCTCACAGTATATGTACTGTACTATACTGAAAAATTTTATAACTACAATTTTAAATAATAAAAAAAACTCAACGCAACCGCAAAGATAATGTACAACTATGTTATGCATAGCACATTGCCTGTTCTAAGGGGAAGCATGTGAGCATCTCAGTTTATACAAAAAGCAGGACGTAACTATATAGTTCTCAGTGCATCCTGATGAAGGCATTTTTGCCTTCAGCTTTTTTGAAAATTTATTATAAGCTAGATGCTAATCAGAAAATATTTTGTATTTTTTAAAATTTCTTTCATACATGGTAAAGACTTATTTTATTATTTCCCCAAATAGTGGTTTAAGCATCATACAAAGTTAAATTTCAGTAGCATACAGATATTTATGATTTTTGTATGAAAAATGTAAGGAAATTTGTTCAAAACCTATGGTTATACTCATTTTTTTTTACCACAAACATATTTATAAACGAAAATGTAGCATCACCATAAACAGCTGAAGCTAGACTATCTACAGACAAAATTAGCAACAAATCTGATGCACTGTAAATTCAAGTCCTCAGGACAACAAAAGTGATTAAGCAAGACCTCAAGTAACAATGTTAATGCCATTTACAAAGGAAAAAACTGATACAAAAACATTCAAAACCTGAACATCACTTGGCATGTAAGGGAAAAAAAAAATCAAATTAGCTGAAAGGTTCATAAACACAAGGTCTTATTTACATTACACAAAGCTCAGGTGTTAGCCTTGAACGTAACTTTCAAAATACCTTCAAATATATCCAACTCAGATCACTTTTGCCGATTTGCTGCAGTACAAATCATGTGCAACATCTTTTTTTTCCTTAAGACAAAACAATTCTTCAAACAATACTGCAAGTACATCACTAAACACCATGAGCTCTATCTGAAGGGATTTCTTTAGGAAGAACAGATTTTTTTCCCCCATCTCTTGGTAATTTAAATTTCTTGCCTGCTCTTATATATTCTTTTGTAAATTTTTTTTGTTTCAAAATCACAAATCAATGTGAGCCACCTATCACATAATAACCAGGATGATCAGACATTCCACTGGTGATTACAAAAACGAAACCAGCAGTGTTTCCCCCATTGATTCTACTCCTTTCATACAAAGATCTCAAAAGTAGTATTTTCTACATCATAAATCTTTCTAAATTTTCCAACCGCTGCAAATTTCCTGGTAAATTTTAAAAGCTCACTAGGTGTCATATGAAGAGATTTCTCAAAGTATTCAAGTCAAAATATTTGTTCCAGGACCAGTAAAAAGTTTCTCCAAATTTTCTTTTTTATAAAAATAGATGCTTTTTTTAAACCCACATCAAAGAGGCTCTTATCTCTTTGGCAAGGTACTGCTTTACGAAAAGTTCTCCAGTATTCTTACAATAAGCGTTTATAATGTAGCCCCCCCCTTCCCCAACCCAAATCATAATTACAAAATAAATACTGTTTTTAACTTCATAAATAAAAATGTAAACTTCAAAATACTTTTCTTAGACATAACAGCAATGCTTTAAATGTAAACCAAACACAAAGCTAATCAGAAAAAGAAATAAAAGGGGGAAAAAAAGACACAACCAACTGAAGAATTACAACACAAAGCCTCAATATTTACTCACAGGTTCAAGGCAATTATGTAAAAAGAAAAGAAATGTCTTCCCTTAGCTGAAACACTTTAAAAGGTCCACCTTCTTCAAAGAAGGCAATAGAATGCAATGTGACAGGTAAAAACCCTGTACCTCTTGTCCATATTCAAACATAAAAGATATTTAAGAAGTTTTAATTCAAATACTAGCAATAAAAAATCTCACATATTTCTTAGGATGCTAAGTAGTCGTTTTATCCCCATCTCAACACTGACTTACAAAGACATTTACTAATGTATAAAGTTTCTCTTAACTTGCCTTTGTTGTATAGTTTTCATATATAAATGGACTGAGGACAAGAGCTCATTAGGCTTTGTGCGTTTTGTTTGTCTTAAAGGAGACCTGCAGTACTCTGTCTCCCAGACGGTATCCATTGAGGCTAGCTATCGCCATGGCAGCCTCATCATAGTTTGTCATAGTCACAAATCCAAAACCTTTGCATTTATTGGTGTTAAAGTCACGGATGACCTTCACGTTGGTGACAGCTCCAAAAGGCCCAAACATTTGCCACAGGATACTCTCATCTGCGTCAGGAGCCAGGTTGTACACAAAAATACACCACCCTGTTCCTGGGTGCCCAGGGATATTAATTCCAGCCAAACTGGTCATTCCATCAATGGTCATTGGAGAAAACCTACTAAACAAAATAGGAAACACACACACACATACACACACACACACACACACCACACACACAAATAGAAACAGAGGTTGGTTACAGCAATGGACGTATTTCTTTTCCCCTCCCATCCCAAGAGTTTCAGTAACCCCCTCCCCTCCAACAGATACATACAACTATCTGATGTTTCAACCAAAGTCTGCGTGTGGCTTGCAGTGACATGCTATACTGTCAAGGTATTAATAAATTATGAAATGGTCATTATATGCTGTATTGAATAATACGATCCACAATAGCAAAGAAATATATTCAGAATATATTTAGAAGTGGTTTCATGAATTAAGCAGGATTGGGGGGAAGGGGTACCAACACACATGTACACATGCTATAGCGTCGCAATGCAATATAAAACAAATAATGGGGTTTTTAAAGACCAGGTGGCATCCAGTGGTATAAAAATACTCGAATCAACCGTGCTTTAAAAAAACAACTTTTCATTAAGTTGTACATGCAAAAGAAAACAACACAAACTCATGAAGGGTGTCACTCCCAAAATCAAAGAAACTAATCAATTATGGGAAGGGATTATGATTATCATGAACCTCTATCATTACCTCTTTACTCCATAAGCCATATTGAGCAGATTGTCCAACCTGCAAAACATACATTTAGCAAACTTCAGTTTTTAATTTTCCCCTTGATGTTCAAGAAAGCTGGGTTTGTTACTGACATCTTCCGAGGGGAGTATTTGTATGTTAATTCTATGTGAACTCTCAAAACTTTGGTCTTTTCACATTCCTGAGAAAATGGGTACCCACTTCCCTAAGACACTAGTTCTTCCGATGGATACAGTTTATCCCTACAGTGATCAGAACCATACAGGCAAAATGTAACTGGTCATCTGAGGACACCTTTCAGAGAGGAAATGTGGAGGCTCTGCAACAGTTCATCTTTGGATTCTCATCTATTACCAGGTAAATTCTAAGTGCTCCACATGCACCTACATGTACTTTATACTACCTGTTACAAAAAAGAAGAAAGAAAACAGGCCTCAAATGGAGTCACCTGTGCTGAGCCCCATGTCGGCAAACCAAGACTTAATATCTAAGCTAATAGTAAGTTCAAGAATACAAACTTTAACAGTCAAGCTGGAATTACCTGGTCAGCTCTAGTGACCCACACACCTTTCCCCCAAAGGAAGGTGACCTTGGTGACCTTGCCTGAAACAATCCACTCTTTGTTAGAAATGTCCCCTTGCCTGCTCTCTTCTGCCTGTAAAAGCCTTCCATTTTGTACAGCCCTTTGGACCTCCTTTCTATTTGCTAGGTGAAATGCTGCCTGATTCATGAATTGGAGAATAAAGCCAATTTGATGTTCAAATTTACTCAGCTGAATTTTGTTTTTTAACATTAAATTTTATAACTCCATTAACTCCTGTGTATACCAAGGCATACCGATTGACTTGCCAAAGAGCATAGAGCTAGTAAACAGTGACACCAATATTCCATAAATTTCCCTTCAACCTCTCCACTCTGAAAGACTTTCTTTTCTTACAAAATGGTGTATTACAGGTAGAAAGAACCTTACAGACGGTATTAGCTCAATCTGCCATTTCTCCGTGGGCTCAATTAAGGTGCAGAGGAAGACAACAGACTCATTGCTTCAGTGAGCAACAGAGCAAAAAGGTCAGACCTGGCGACCGATGCTTATTCTGACTACGCTACAGGAAGCGTAGCTCTACTCAAGGTCTAAGAAGCCAGGTAGAAACAAACCAACTTGAGCTTCTCTTAAAATTTTTAAAACAAAGTAGTTGGGGGTGCGTAGGTACTCTTTAAAACTCTCCATCCTTTTCCTATTTCAAAAATTAAGTTGATTTTATAATACTTGATTCTTCTTGCTTGGTCAGTTTCAAAGAGACCATTCTGATGTTCCAAATTTCCATAATGTGTACCAGTTAATTACATGTGTTTAGGGGAGGTGGGCATAGCTTATGGTAGACGGAACCAACCTCAACTGCCACAATGTTCAACACTCTCCAAGTGAGACCCTGAGGCAGGGGGAACAATTTTTTTCTTTAACACCTATGAAAGGTAAGTCTGAAAAACACCTCAGTGTTATTGTCTAACCTGTGGCCTCAAATGAGGTTAGGGCACACATGAGAGAACATTTGCTTCAATCGCTTCTAGTTTTATAAAAGCCAAAAAAACATCTCTTTCTGGTCTTTTAGAATTGGAAAAAGAATCTTCACACATTCCTATCCACAATAATCACCTCTGGGCATTTTGTGTGTTTTGCAAAAATGGAAAGAAATAACTGAGCTGATAAGATGCAAAGTGCAAGGAAACAGAACAAATCACAGTGGCAAAGGATCCTCATCTGTGTCTGTCTGTCCTGTCCCAACACCCTCTCAGAAGCAGGGACATGTTCATTCCCCACTGTGCCACTAAGCATAAAGCACAGGCCTGGATCACTGCAAGTTTATAATAACTATCTGTTGACAAATAGAGCAATATGGTTACAAATACTATCCTTAACTACTTAATCCAGAATGAAAACTATCAGAAGGGCTGGTTGGGGAGCCTGTTTGCACATGCAAGGAGAAAGCATGTGTTTGGGAAAAGTACAGAGGTGGGTGGGCTTGGTTTTCTGCAGAGGCATAAGTCAAAGATGTCATGCCTCTATACGCCGAAAGAAAGGCCAAGAAGACCAGAAATAAAGATGCGTACAACTTAGTATATCACCAACCATAACATAATCTGATACAGATAATTTCATACAATGACTGGGATGATCAATAAAGAATGCATTTGGCATATGATACCTGTAGAAAAGAATGGCAACTGAAGTCTCCTTCCTAAGTGCTGAAGGGCCCAGACACAGAGACACCTTATCGATTCACTCAAAATAGAATTACACCATCTCTGCCCAGGTAGGGGTGTCCCACTTTGCCACCATCATCTTACTCTACCAACCGAAAGTCCAGGGACTGGATCTCCTAATCAAGTTTTCAGTATTTTCAAGACAGGAAACCAAAACTGCCCCAGAAATGAATTACGTTATGTTAGGGAGAGACATCTCATTCACAATTCTTCATCCAAGGACCCTCTAGGCAGGAGGCCTAGGATATTTATAGTAGGACCTCTGAGGACTCTCTCAGTGGGCCTCCTATGTGCCCCACCTATGAAATCCTATGATACACTGTGATCCTGACCATGGATTTCTTTCCTCAGTACCCATTTTCAGAAGAAATTCAGTCTTCTGGAACTTAAGACAAATTATCTGTCTAAACACCATCATCCCCCCCCCCACCAGCATCTCCTTCCACCCTCCTTGCTCTCTCCCACATCCCCCATTAACAAGGAGAGCCAGGAGAGCATGGGATCTAAGAAACAGGATGTAGGCAAGGCCAAAAACTCCAGCCTGCATGCAGGTGGACCTGGCAGTTTTCCCTGCTCTCTTGGCGCCACACACTCATGCTTCTCATGGGAGCCGTAAGAGAGCAGTGGGTGCTCCACATGGACACTATGCAACCCAAATCTTGTAGCAGCTGGAAAACTGTAAACTAAGCATCTTCTCTTGTAACTGCTTAGTTTACAGTCCGCTCAGACATAGGACCACTATTACTCTCCAGAATTATACATCTTTGCTGGGTGTGTCCAGAGCTTGAGGACAGTCATCTTTTATAGCTGGTCATTTAAAAATAGAAGCCAATATTTAATGGAGATCAAGTCAGTAGTGTCCAGAATGATCCGGGGGGGGGGGGTGTGAATGATGACGTACTACAGTGTGGCAAGAAAAGAGCCCATTAAAAAGATACTTTTAACTTTAAAAATATTCTTTACTCAAATTTAATGGATGCACTGCACCCAGTACCCTCACTCAGTCCCCATGCATTGCTTACTTTCTGAGGTAAGACTGAGCAGTCCATCAAGAGACAGTGACACTCTTCCCCTATTCTGTACCTTGGATATAATCCACTTTACAAATAACACATGAAGTGGATATGGGGGATTAGATAGGGAAACCTAGCTTTAATTAAAATAACCCTCCAAGAAGAGGTAGCTTCACAAAGATTTCTATAAAAATCATCGTCATCAGAGTCAGGACGACACGAGTAAAAGCAGCCCAAGTAAACAAGAACAGGGAGAGAGCTATTTCTGATTATTTCTCCTCTTCCTAGTACAAAGTCCGCTATGAGGTTAGACACAAGATAATCCAACACAAAGTTCAAAATTACCAAAGATAATTTTATGAATCTCACTTTAAAGATATAGGATTTATTAAGATACTGAATAAATGAAAAGTCAGTCAGCATGATAATAAGACATTAAAATATTGTTTCTTTCATCTTTATATGTATTTTCTATGTTTGATTAGGGTTTATGAGTTCACAAATGTAATAGCACAAGCCCGTGTTCATATAATTTATGAAAAAATATATACTGGGGATACCGTGTACAAACATTTTCCTCTCAACAGGAATACAACTCAGACTAGGCAATATTTTGAATAGAACCATATATTAGGTAGAGTATTCCCATTTCAAAGTTAGAGGTCTACAAAAAGAAAACGCCTAGTTTCCAAGAAATTTAGCTGACAGGTTATGGGGAGGCCCACACACAAGTAGAAGGGGAAATGTGAAGTCAATTCAAGTCAGAAATAAAAATATAAAGAGAGATTTACTGATGGGTAAGAAAGTGCAACTCTGAACTCTACAAATAATGGTTCTCAAAACCTCTCCAAAGCACTGGCCAAAATGTGCTTTGAAGTTAAACCACAAGATCATCAACTTACCCCTTTTCCCGTTACATGGTGTCATCTAACCTCTAAGAGAAAAAAAATTATTCAGGAAGACTGATACCAGTTTCTTCCAAAAGGAAATTATGATAGGAGCAACCAGCGCATGCCTTCAACGCAACACAAGCACGGATTTAAAAGACTCCTTTAAAAATGCATAAAGGCTTACAGAAGTAGGCACTCAGGCCATTAGACTAGATCACATTCAATAAAATTAAAGCTGCTCCACAAGAAGAGAGATGAAAAATTTGGCTGAAAGCTTAATTCTGACACTGTGTACCAGAAATATACTTAAGGGGCTTGAATTATACTATCCATCCAAATAAATAAGGATGGTTTTATTTTGAAAACTGTAGTCAATTAAGTAAGCATATAAGATCAGCTGTGCTCATGTTAAAATAATTCTCTATTCGTATGGGTTGACTGAATCATAAACTTCACAAGCCCACTTTTGAACTTAAACGTTACTGCATGAGTTTTGCATTTTTTTGACCTTAAAAGATATGGTGCATTTCATGAATATTAAAAATATCCTTTATTATTATTATAATACTTATAACTTGTATCCTCCAATCTCTTTCAACTCCCAAGGTACTATGACAACATAAAAAACACAATGAGAAATGTTCTAAGTGTCTGCTGGAAGGTGACAAACTGAAGGCTAAGAGCATTAGGACACAGATGTTAGGGACAAAATATTTCTGTAATGATCTAGACTTGAATGAGAGAAGAGCAAAATACCAAAAAAACAAGCAAGTCCTTAATTCAATGGTCTTTATGAAGAGAAAGAAGATTCAACCTTAATTCAACAGAAGAGGAGGGAATGAAGGTAATGACAACCAAGTTTTTAAGTATTAAAAGCAACCAAACGTTTATCAGGTTAAACCTGAACTCTAGGAATAAAGGCTCCTAATTTCTTCTAAAACTGAGTCTAGACCAAGCACTTTCACTGAGCTCAAAGACTAGTTCATTACTTATTATCTACACAGAGAATATGAAAAGAAGGAACAGAGGGTGGCAGAGATGAGAGTTAGGAATTTGAAATGACAATAAAAATCTCCGTTTTCTGAAACCGAGTCTCCCTTACAACAGACAATTCTTATTCCCTGGTTTTCAGAATTTTTCTAGGAGTCAAGGAAAGGAAGAATTTCAAGTTAATAACGTATGGGACAGAAAGATAAAAGCAAAGGATGGGCAGAGAGATATTTAGAAAGATATTAAATTTGACCATTATAACATCCTGGAAAGCTTTCCCAACCCACAAGTAAGAAGCACGGAGCATGCAGGGAGTGGGCTGGGTGGGGCTGTGTGCAGACACAGCAGTTACCAGCCTGTCTGGGAGTCTCCTGCGTGCCTCACCATTTCAATGATCAGGCATTCTCCTGATCCTCTGCATTCTCCTGCAGATCCTGCCACCTCAGACCTTTGGTCTGATCTTCCTCATCATTCAGTCCTGACTCTGAGAACACAGTTTTACTTAATAACCACCATAAAATGAAACCAGAGCTTACAATGGAAAACACCAGAAATAACCAACAATTCAAAATGAACATAGCTCTCTATTAACATCAAACATTTTATATTTTCACGGGGCTGAAATCAGCCAGTAAGTCTCAAAGAACCTCTCTCTATGTAAGCTCAAAACTCTTTTCTAGACCCCAAAGAGCTCTGAAGTTAACTGAAGAGGCTGTCCAGGAAACACCTCTAAAATTTGTTCAAGTCTGTGCAAAATTTGCAGAAAATATTATTCACTTTAAGATGCCATGCAGGAAACCTATAGGCAGAGCTAAAAAAACAAACAAACAAAAACAAACGGTTTTTTTTAAGATTTTTCTCCACAAGGGCAAGTATCAAGTTGCTCCAATGCATCTCTCCCCCTACAGCCATGGCCTCAACCACCCACCATAGTCAAAGGGAGCAGGGTTTCCTGACAATGTGTTGTTTTTGTTTTGTTTTGTTTTAACATCGCAAAGTTTAAAGCAGAGAGTGAACACAGGCTCAACCAACTGGGTAACCCAGTCATCCAGTTTCAAATGGATCCTTTTCACAGTACCACCTTTTCTGCCAGGGCAAAAGCTAGCCTAAGTAGGAACTGAACACAGTGTTTATGGCGAATTTCTTTCTCACATCTCAGGTGACACAGTTGAGTATTTTTTTAAAAGCAGGTATCTGACCGATTTTATCTCTTCTTTAACACTATTAATACCCCAGTGAAAAAATGCATGTGATTTAAGCTCAAAAACGTTAACTCCTCATTAAGTTACATTTGTGATCCTATTTTTGGTAATTAACTATTCTGCCCCTGCAAGGAATGAAAGAAAAGTGATAATGCACTTAGGATTAAAAAAAAAAAAAAATTTAGTATGGGGTTAGATGGAATTATGGCTGCAGTATATCATATGGCCAAAAAGGATATTAAAAAATGTTCTTGAAAAAAAACTGGGTGGCTTTGCTTATGAAACCAGTTCTTTGCGCTGCGTTTAATGTCTTAAAGTCACTGTTCTCACATGCAGATTAAAATGATTCTTGATTTGATTGTTACCCCAGGTTTAAATTAAAACTTGAAAAACTGAAATATTTATGCTTGTCTAACAAGATAGAATGTCTTCTTTGGGCTGAAGATGCATAGTCATTCTACGGACTATACAGGGGTCTGAAAACTACCACCCACAGGCCAAATCCACACTGCCATCTGTTTCTATATAGCCCAGGAGTGAAGATTGGCTTTTACATTTTTAAAGAGCTGTTTAAAAAAAGGATCTATATGCTACAGAGACCATGACCCCCAAAGCCAGAATATTTACTATCCAGCCCTTTACCGGAGGTTTGCCAACCCCTAAAATACAAGAAATAAAAAATTTTAAAAGGGGAGAGGGATTCATTTGTAGAAACTTAATGTTTTCGCATAGGTTTTATCTCTTTAGTGATGTACCTATTACAAAACAAAATAACTGAAAGAGCTTGACCTAAAAGCTAAAATACGAGAATAAAATCTTACCAAGAAAAAAAACTAGAAAGGGGAAATCAGAAGCACTGGAAACAGAACCCAGCATTCCATAGGTCAGGGTTTCTCAGCCTTGCACTATTGATGTTTGGGGTAAGATGATTTGCTGCTGTTGGGGGTTATACTGTGCACTGCAGGATGTTCAGCAGCATCCCTGACCTCTACCCAGTAGATTCCAGGAGCACCCGCACCCAAGTTGTGCCCACATAAATGTCTCCAGATGCTGCCAATTGTCCTGAGGGGCAAAATTACTCCCCAGTTGAGAATGACCGCCATAGCTTATTGTCCTTTTTCGTTACTACCTTCAACATTAGCAAAAGACACTACACCCCAAAGAGGTTTTCTCTGTGCCCATAAGAAAAAGAAAGAGAACACCACCAACAGTAAGAGCAAACCCGAATCCTGTCAACAAAAGTATTGCACAGTGAACCTGAGAGTTCTGAGTGTAGTAGCTGGGCGTAAGAACCAGACCATACTTACCTAAAACGCTGTGCCTGCTGAGCTAGTGGTCCTGGATACCTTCTGTTCGGAGACTGGTACAGCTGGGAAAGGATGGCCTGATTGGTTTTTTGGCTTGGATTATTAGCAAACTTTACAGTGATTGGCTCTGTGGCACCAGGAGGTTTCTGGCCATTTAGGCCTTTGATGGCTTCTTCTGCCTCAATCCGCTTGTCAAATCGAATAAACCCTACACCCCTTGATATGCCTATTGGTAGATTTGGGTAAGGATTTGGGAAAGAGGAAGCGGAAGGAGAAGGGAGGGAGAGAAGAAAGGATAAATTAATTTTTCCTTCTCAAAACATGTTTTCAGTCACATATAACATCTGCCACAAAATCAGAGGGGGAGGAAAGTTTTACCTTACCTTAGTAGCAGTTCAGTCTAGAATCACAATTTTGTATTTTTTTTAATGCATGAAGTCATCTATACAATCTGAAAACCCATATTATTACATACCTACCAATAAGCCCAGACAAAGAGAAAGCATGCAAATATGTCCCTGTTCTCCCTACCTGCCACCTTCTCTCTCCGCATATACTCTCTTGTCTTTAATAATGTCAACAACAGCATGCCTAATTTCTATTTCTCAAATTACGGTATTGGATAAGCAGCTCAGAAATGAAGGGCATAGGAGCTTCCTCTCTTGTAACGAAAACAGAACCAGGCATTTGCTAAAAATGCTAAAAAGCTATACTAAAAACACATCACAGTGGTTGAAAGATATTTCAGCTAAATTTTTGAATAATAAAGTTCTACTTAGTAATATTACATAGGCTACTGGCCCACTCAGAAAAATGTCTGAAGAGGCTTTTCTGGTTCCCTGAAACTTCCCCCACTGATTTTAACTAGCTATACTTTATGAGAGAAACAGTATTATATGGAGAAAAAGGGATAAAAGAGGACCTACATTTTTAAAATAAAGAAAATAGAAATAAAGCCTCAAAGCTTTCTGGCTCCAGCAGTACTGGTCCTATGGAAATGCCATTCTCTGTCTCATGCTCTCCCCGCTCTGACAGACAAGAATAGGAAAGCAGAGGGATGGCCAAATACCGGTCCAGCTTTTGAAAAATGGCAGAGAAAAACCCAACCCATTCCATTTAATTAGCTTTACTGGGCCAGTTGAGGTGGCCACAGCCGGCCACCCAGAGATACACAGGTGTAAGGAATGCTTTCTTGGCAAGCAAATTGGTATTAGCTGTACTAGCTTGGGACTAGTAGCTAGAAAAGTCTAGATGATTCAGAGTATGTCAATGAAGAATAGAACAAAGGTTACTGAGAAAGACAAGCTGAGAAAATGTACTAGACCATCACGATTTATAGGAACTTTAAAAAGGAATGAAGTTCTACTTGCTTTATAATTAACACTGTGTAAGTTCAATGGCTGAGAATTTTATTCTAAGGTGGAGAGGCATTTCTTTCATATACACTTATCTCAGCCCATACCACTTTTCGTTTCCTATTTAAGTTACATCAGCTGTACACTATCACCACCTGATGGCTGAATAACAAAATTGCAGGGTTTTCTTTTCCATTTCAGGTGAAGTGAATAATTTCACCTTGAAAGTCTTAAGTATAAAGAGTAAAGATAAAATGGTGAAATGACAGTAAATATATTCTTTTAGCTATCCACTAACAGGAAGAATTAATAACCCCCTAGAGCTTAACTATTCCATGAGGAAAGCATTAGATTAGCAATGCAACAGCCTCCACACAGACTGAGTCACCTAAACCTGAGGCCCTCTAACTTGAGCATGCATCAGAATAACCCAAAGTGGGGGGCACCTGGCTGGCTCAGTCGGTTAAGCATCTGACTCTGAGTTTTGGCTCAGGTCGTGATCTCATGGGTTGTGAGATGGAGCCCAAAGTCTGGCTTGGCGCTCCGTGGGGAGTCTGCTTGAGATCCTCTCCTCTGCCCCTCCACCCACTTGTGAGTGTGTGCTCTCACTCTCTCTCTGAAATAAATCTTAAAAAAAAAAAAGAATAACCCAAAGGCTTGGTACAATGCCCACCTTCAGAGTTAAAGAGATGGGCCTTCTGTAACAGAAGTGAAATCTACTCTCCACTCACCAGGTTTTCATTAAGAATGATGAATTAAAAAGTATGAATGATATGAACCAAAAAAAGGGCATTTCTGTTGCTTTAAGCAAATTTACCTGGATTGCTAGACCTGGATTTCTTCTATTTAACCAACTAGCAGTCTGTGTGATACAGCAGAGTGACAGAATGTACAAGGAAGATTATAAAATGCAGCTATGATGAAAAGACCATATCTTTTATATTCCTTCCCTAGACAAAATTTTCTTCATACAGCAAAACCTATAGGCCACTCTCCCAAGCGTGTATATGATATCTCTCTACCCAGAACTCTAAGGATGATGCTTCTTATGTATGAAGCCAATTAACAGCACAGGGGAGCATAACACGGGCTGCTTCTGTTCAAACTCAGATCTTCACTTGAATTAAGAACTTGGCCTGATTTTATTCTGTAGTTAATCTACTGCATCCTTTTTTTTGTTTTTTTTAAGATTAGACCAGAAATAAATGATATAGAAACTAAAAAGACAACAGATCAGTGAGACCAGGAGCTGCTTCTTTGAAAAGATCAACAAAACTGATAAACCTCTAGCCAGATATATCAACACAAAAGAGAGAGAGGACTCAAAATCAGAAAAAAAAGAAGAGAATTAGCAGACCCACAGAAATACAAAGGATTGTAAGAGATTATCCACTGCTTCCTTTAGAGAGAAAACAGACATTGTAATACACGATGATGCAATCTCCTCTGGTGGTATTAGAAGAGACAGGGAAAAAGGAGAAAGAAAACAGGGAAAGTGAGAGGAAAGAAAAGGAAGAAACACAAAGAAAATTAAAGAGGAAAATCTATGTTTTCCCCAAAACTCATAAAATCGTAATGTGACTGCTTGAGTATATGGCACTACTTAATTTTCCCCTCCTTACCATGTTTCTCTGTTTTCAATACGTTTTTAAAAAGAATACGCATTGTTTTTATAGTAGAAAATTATAATTTATTCTCTAAAATCCATAATCAAATCTATATTGCTAGCTTTTCTTTAAAAGCTTTGGCAGAAGAGCTCCCTTACAAAAGTTTTAATAAACCTATTATCCTTCTCATTTTGGTTTGGTCAAAAGTTATACCAGGCATAAAATACATTTTTAACATTCAAAATGTCAAACTCTTACACATGCCCATCTGATACAGCATGGACCTAGAAACCAGCCTGAACACTACTGTGGACACAGTGTCATCCTCCCTTAGAGCACAAGGTACATACTGCTGCATTAAACTATGCTTTTTACAAGAAAACAAGACTGTTTACTAGGAGGAGTACTTTATGAGGAGGATGGGGCTTTCCTCACGTGGCAGCTTGTAAATGAGGATTATATCACCTACAAATTTATTACATGCCATAAAAGACTTCGAACCTGCCCCTTCGGGGTGGAAATGACTCAAGCTCGCTCCTTCCACTCCACAATCTATTTTTATCCATGCATATTTATGAACAATTCCAGCAGAAAATTGCATTTTCTGGTCCACATATACCTTTGATGTGTTCCAGAGGCAAGACTGCTGTATGGAAAGGCAGACTATTTCACAACCTGCCACTCAGAAAGTGTAAAAGATTGTCTAGAGCAGCTGCCTACTTACCAGTGACCTGGTCAACAAGAATACGAGAAGTAATGATGCGGCCATACTGTGAAAAGAGCTGCTCCAACTCCTTCTGGGTCATTGTTTTCGGAAGTCCGCTGACGTACAAATTCGCATCTCTGATAGAAGCTGAACTTGGGCGAGCATAGGAAACCTAGGAAAGGAAAATGAAATTAAGCATCTACACACACTCAGTTACCTCCCTTCAGAAACTCAAGGACTGTCTAAAGTTAGTCAGCAGCTTTTCCATACAGAGAACATAACAATGAAGTTAAAAGCAGATCCGGTGTTAACAGTTTTACTCATTTCTGGAGAAAATGCTCAACAAATGGGAAATGCCACTCCCTCCGGGGGGGGGGCGGGGGGAAGATAGAGTATTTATCCCTAGGTTTGCCGGTTTTCAAAACAAATCACATAGCACAGTAGTAATCATGGTAATAGGTTGTCCTCAGTGGGGCCAACCCCCTAAACCAGGAATGTAGGCTCAATCGAATAATTAAGCTTAAGGACTCTAAATTCATCCAACACATTCTTGTGACCTGTTTTTGAGCCTCTCCCATCTCTGCAGCTGGTGGTACAAAGTTTCTAAAAAGTCACCCTATTATCCATAAGTATGCCTTTTAGATTCATTGCCAAAATAACTTTCTATCATCCCTAAACTCCCAGAAATTTAAGTATGCGAATGAGCTAGATCCTTTGTTATTCTTTGCTTTTTGTCTTCTTGTCCACAAGTCTCTGTAACATTGATTTTCCCAAAAGGTCTCGAGTCCCTTTATTGGCTCTACCTACCATTTTATGTATCCTTTCAAAAAGCTTCCTCTCTTTAAGAAATAGTGTCCAAAATTCTAGAAGGATGGAAGACAAAATAAGTCTGCCTGTATTTATTTGTAACCAACATTCTTCATGTAAGCTCCATGCTCTAAGGAACTACATCTCTCTTTCTTATCATGGTTATCCTCAGTATCTTGGCATGTGATAGATGCTTGAATATTTGCTGAGTAAAACCCATCTAATACCCCACTGATCCTGTGGGTCCACATCAGCTTGCTAGACCAGAGGATTTAAGGGACAGTTCATGCAGTCATCAAGAGCTTGCCCAAATTATAATCGATGGCTCTTTGCTTACAACTCTCTCTGCCAATTTTCAGATGGCTCTAAGTCTCATGTGTTATTCCTGACCACATTCCCTCTGGTTTAATTCTAAGCTTTCCTGGACTATCTAACTGCAAGAACTTCACAATACAGCCCCCATCTTTCAGATCATTCATAAAAATGGCCAGGGGATCTAACTCAGATTGATTTTTCAGGTACCATAACATGATAACTTCTGCTTGCTACTTTTATCTATTAGTATCCACCTTTAATCTAGTCCATTGTTCATTACAAAAACAACAAAAAAAACCGTCTTTTCAATTTAAACAAGCTTTTGGTATTTTCAAATATTTTCCCCATGGTTTAAATTATGTCCACAGTGTTATCACCTTTTTATTTTTGGCTTTTCATTTCGGGGGGGGGGGAAAGCCAGGTTTTATACTCCTTTATAAAAGTCTTGCTATCTTTCATCCCTGCCCCACTAGTGTTAACATTTAATATTCTTATCCTTTATTCAACAAATTTGCTCATTAACTAGTGAAAATACACCTATTGGTCCAAAGACTATATCTGAAGTCAAGTGAGCACTGTCTTATCCTACAAACACAAGGAATTTAGAATAGTGGTAGAGAGCATAGATGACTATTCACATGTGCTTTCTCTCTACACCTAAAAGAAGAATGAAGACTGGGGAACTTAAATGTTAAAAGTAAGAAATGAAGGAAAATTCCACGTGATCACCAAAATAATTCAAGTGGAATCTAGTCTTGGGACTGCTATTAACTGAAAAAACAAAGCAAATGAATTACACTTGCACTCAGCGGTATGAAAAAATGAATAGCCAGTTTCTTTTCTGAAGCACAATTCTCAATTATCAGGGTACGCTAAAAATCCCACCACTTAAACTCTTGCTTTCAGTGCAGGGAGCTCTCAGCAAGTCAGCTGTTAGTCTGCTCCGGATATCACGTGACCGAAGTGTTCCCTTTAGGAAGAGCCACTTCACACGGGCAACAGAGTCAGCATCTGCACATTCTCAAAGTTGGGAGGCTCCCTTCCAAGGGCTAGTGAAGCATGGGCTCAAGCAAGGCGTGAGGTATTATAACGTAGTTATAGGGGACAGCTCTCTAACCAGTATGCCTGGGCTCAAAACTATGTGCAATTCATTAAAGGCTCTGTGAACTTGCATTAATTATGTAAGTCTATTACCACATAACTGGACCTTCTTTGTATGGTTATTAGGATTAATAATTTCTAATCTACATAAAATTCTTAGCACAGAACCTAAAAACCTAGATGACTATATTATTTACTTCTCCATGCATCTGAGAATATAATATAGGTAAAGACATAGACCATTAAAGTTGAGAGTAACCTGAGTCCATTACTGTGTTCCAGAATAATTTACTCATGCAGTGACATTTACTGCTGTGTGCATTTCAGAGGAGTGTGGGTGGAGTGTTTTAAAAGTTATCCTAAAATATATTTAGGAAAACGGGTTTATATTTAGTGCTTATATAAAAGCTTTGAAAACATACTTGGGTCAGCTATGTTATCTGCTTTTTTTTTCTTCAACATCTGGTCTTGAGTTCACATTGCTTCTTTAATTCTCAGCCTGTACTGACAATATTTTATTTTCTGTATTCTTGATGCTCTAGCATCTGGGGCCTTGATCCTGGAGAGACTGCCCCTCCCAGGGAGATAGCAAATGACTCCCGTGAGCATGCCTTTGATATATAAACAACCAATCTAGAGCCCACACCTGTAACTCCTTTATCAAATTCTCACACACCAAGCCTATTCCCCCTGTCCTAACCCCAGGGCCAGATGCCTGACAACTAGGAACCCCGACCCCCCACCAGGCTACAGTCCTCCAAAATTATTCAAACTAACCATTGCTAAACTCACTCAGCACACCTACTGTGCCTCGCCCTTTACTCCCCACCAGGAACTCCAATAAAAGCTCTGGGCCATATTCTGCCCTCCTCTCTGTCTCTTGACCATCCCTGATGCTTCCCCATGTGGCCTTACATGTCATGTGGCACCCCCCGTTTCTAAAGATCTGTAACTATAAACTTCTTTCTTCATAACAATGATTTCCATGTCTGCACATCCTACCATACCTGATTAAAACAAATCCTGGGTACGTTTTTAGAATGCAACTATGTTGTTGTTTTTTCTTTTAAAGATTTTATCATTTATTTGAGAGAGAGAGAATGAGAGAGAGCACGACAGGGAAGAGGGTCAGAGGGAGAAGCAGACTCCCCGCAGAGGAGGGAGCCCGATGTGGGACTCGATCCCGGGACTCCAGGATCATGACCTGAGCCGAAGGCAGTCGCTTAACCAACTGAGCCACCCAGGCGCCCCAGAATGCAACTATGTTAAAAGGGCTCCAAGAACCAATAATAAGCCTCCTCAAAAGAGTATTTTTCAGGAACTTCCTCAGGAACCGGTTCCCATCACCACAGGCAGGACAGAGGTGACTACATTGCATATAAACTCACGGCAGTAACAAATAATATTTCCATTTAATTAACACTTAGGGACTTACGAGACTTCACCATGTGCAAAGCATTTTCAAATAGAGTGTTTTGTTTGTGAGAGGTAAGGCACACATTAGTATTTTATAGCTGGGCAAATAGGTACAGACAAGGTAAATAACATGCCTAATGTTACATACCACTGGATTCAAACTCTGATCTTCTGACCCCTTGTCCTTGTATCCTTGTCCAGTTTTCTTTCTAGAATTTACCACACTATAGTAACTTTTGTTCTGAAAGTTTGGAAAAATTAAATGAATCTTGGTTGTTTCTTATAAACACACAGACACACACACACATACACACACACTGAAATTGAGCTAAGATAGAAGAGGATGACACTAGAAATTGTAGTTACGTCAAAGTTACTATATTTCATTTTCCATTAATATTTCTAAAAAGTAACTTCTTCCAAGAATGAGTGGTCACTAATTGAGATTCACTGCAGAAACTGCGTGATAATTAGAATTTTTAAATTAGTTTTTATTACTTTCTAATTCTTAGAATGAATTAAATGAGCAATGTATCTCCCCTCTATCCCTCATCCACTTTCAAGAAAAAAAAAATGTAAGGGCAACCATCCCTCTCCCAGACCAAGGGGTTATGTCTTGCCCCTACACCTTTGTTTCTCAGGATTAACAGGCCCCTCCCCTGCTCTATCAAAGACATCACTGTCAATAACATCATCCCTTCCAAGACAAGCAAAGTATTTCTTCTTCCATTTCAAAGGATTATCAATGGAATGTACTTATAACAAAGTAGGAAGAAGACTCCCCCAGTGGGATAAGGACTTGTTCTTGAAGATTCGAATCGGTTTCCAGACAGAATTTTGTATCTAGAAATTATCAGCAACCTTCTCCATTCTGATTTTTCTGTGGATGTGAAGCTTGTACTGGTGCCTTGAATCACCAGGAGAACCACTCTTGAGCTTTCTTAAACCTCACAGTGTTAAGTCTATTTTTATGGTTCTTCAAGGTTAAAACCTCTTGGAGAAGACCCAAGAGATGGTTTTGTTTTATGGCAAATTATATATTAGAAATAATTCAATACAATGAACCTCCAGCATATGTCCCAGTGGGGTCAAAATAGCTTCTTCCTTCACCAACTGCAAGCTGTTCTCCAATATACATTCACTGGATTAACAGAATGGGTTTGGATTTTAAATTTTCACTGCCATTTAAACAGGTGAGTATTTAATGCCTGAGGAGCAAGGTTATGAAATGTCAAAACTACTAAGTGAAGGATCTAATTTAAGAGGCAGCCAGAGAGCCTGCAATTTAAATATTTAAAGATGATACAGGGAGTACAACACTGAACACCAATCTACTCCAAAGATAGCAATTTAAAACTCAGGTTTATTCTGGAATTTCTCACAACCCTACAAGTGATATAATAAACAAAGACAAGCAATACTGAGATTACTTGAGGGGAAGGAAAGGAAGCAGTCAGAAGTACCAGGCAAATAAACGCTCTAGCCAATGGCTTCTCAAATTGTTCTTCACAAATGAGATCACACTGGACAAAA